AGGTATTGTTTGGGGGTTAAAGCACAAGAGAATCACAAATCATAGAGCGATTGCTACTGCCAGAACACAAGCTTTTAAAATATTTTGGGAGCAGAGTGTTTTGGCACACTTGCAACCTGAAGTGCTTGGGAGGTGTAGACAGAAGGACTGCTGATAAGATGCCAGCCTGGGCCACGCAGCAAGACCGTCTGCAGCCCTCCCTGTGCACTGCAATTCCTGTCCCGCCACATGGCTGCTGGCCTTTGTCAGTGCATCTGTTACAGGTATTTAAAATAATGCCCCATTAATGGCCCCTCCGACTCCAGGTTAGCAGTGTGCTATGGTTTTACTCCAGTAGCAGAGTCATTTTTATACCCTGTCTTCACTTGCATCTAACCATGGGTCTTGGGCACTAGATCTGTGTACTTTAGATGACAGGGCTGGGTGCCATCCTGAGCTCACAGGCATATTCCGTGTTCTTCCTACACCTCAGACATGCCCCAGCACAATACAGTCACATGCTGGGCTCCCTGGGCTCACGTAGGTTTAGAAGGCAGGAGGGCCTCAGGACAGGCTCCCTGTTGGGAACCATCACATTGAGGTGGTTACTAACTCAATGTGTAGATGGCTTTCCAAGAGCTAGTCTGGAGTGTGCAGAAGGCCGAGGACCAGAGCCCTGGAAGCACCAGAGCCCTGGAAGCACCTTTGAGAAGGCAACAGAGGAGCTTGAGGAATTCCAGGCAGAGGATGAGGCCAAGAACCTAGTGTGTTCTGGAAACCTAGAGCTGAATGCAATGGATGGGATGGGCAGCAGAAACTGCCCAGGGCTCATATAGGAACATGTGATCTGACCTCCAGGCAGCTGCAGGTATCCTGGGCACCACACAAGGGCAAAGAGACAGACCAGCTCCTAAGTTGTGGGGGTCAGAAATTGGAGAGGGTGGCCTCAGCCAAAGACAGATTTGCAGGAAGGCTGTTGGAGAGAGGGGCCCATGCCTCTACTTAGTTGACACAATTGTTAGTGACAAGCTTCCTTCCTTTTGTCATACAACTGGTCATAGAAGAGTTTATTCGAGCTTACAGTTCCAGAGGGATAAGTGTCCACCATGAGAAGGAAGTAGCTTCCACTAGGACCTCTTTTATCTGCTGGGTGAAGTGAGGTCATAGATCTCCTACCATGTTCAGCCTTCAGGAAACAGAGACAAGGCAAAATACTTCTATGTGCTTGGTCACAGGGCTGTGAACAGGCGGCTGTCTCTACTGATAGGACCAAGGTGATTCTTGCTTTTGTGTGGATAACACAGTAATGTCATGGAAGAAGAAAAGGGGTTGAACAGAGCAATCTCTGTTTGGGGGTTCTTTCTTGTTCAGTAGAAAATGTTCAGTTTATGGAGAAAGCAAGTGAATGCATGTCTGTTTTTGTTGTTAAGGTATGTAATTTTCCAATGGAACTATGTACACGGATATATGTTTCAGCTTAAGGATGTCATACATTAGCCCAGATTAGGACGAAGGCTTGCCAACCTGGAGATCATTGCTGTGCTCCCAGGCACTAACCCACCTCCTCCATAAGGTGGCACCATTCTGACATTGGTCCTCTGCCTGAGCTAGACTGCTTGCTGCCTTGTGCAATTAAATCCATTGGTAGGTGTGAAGAACTAGCCAAAGGGAGGGCTTTGTTTTGGTTTTGCCTCCTATTCAAGTCCAAACAGAAAGCTGAACTGTAGAGGAAGCAATTTTAAAGCAACACCAAGCAACAGCATGGAAAAGAAGAGAGGTTTTGGTGACCCCTGTGGTAAAAGGGCAGTGGTCATGTCTCCTTAAGTGATGCTTTTAGATGGAACATAACACTTAGTGTCCAGAATCCCACCAAGTGTGAGAGAATATTAAATCTCATTAATGAAAAAGTAAAGCCAGGTCTTTGGAGCTTGGGTGTTTGTATGTCTGGAATATTGCACAGTAAGGAAGACCTTTAGGTACGTGTATTGATGTAAAGTATGTAACAGTGTGTTTGTTGAATGACCAAGGCTCTGACTAACACAGATGATGAGATCAGCTCACCAGCGGAGCCTGGGGTTATGTCTTTGAACCTACTAGCACTACCAGCAATGATTACAGTTTGAAAGGGGCAGGGCCTGCCTTCCGTCCCTGTGGTCTATGTCCTAGACTGAAATTAGAGCAGGGCAAGCACTCAGCTGTTGGGGTCAAGGCCCCTGTGGATCTGTCCCATGATGGTGGGACATGATCCTATAGTAAATATCATGGTCGCTTCCTGATTGGAGTTGGCACTATACTTTTTTACCTTTTTCACTTTTAGGAAAGCCTTTAACCAAGGAACCCATGTGCTGTTTTTCTCCCTGGTACACAAAGCAGGCAGCCTCAGCAGCCATTAGCACATCTGTGGCTGTTAGCAAGAGTTCTACAACACAGGACAGACTTCTGCACTTTCTCCCTTTCCTCTGTGACTTCATCCTTACCCAGAATCCTGCTGTCCTTCGTTAAGTAAATTTGCCCCTATTCTTACATTTTATCCTATTTTTCCAAAGTACTCCTGGCACTGTAGAACAAAACATTTTAAAGTCATTTTCTTTGCCGTATTGGTGTATGTGAGTTAGAAAGTGTTAAGAATAATGAGGAAGCAGGCCAAATGTGAAAAAAAAGTAATAAAAATAAATGCTGTCGATTGTTAGATATTGTTGGTCTGTATTTTGGTCATTAAGGTTGGAAGAGAACAGTTGCTGTGGGGGCACGGGGGCTTGGAGTGCAGCCACACTCAGTGCTGCCCGTGGTGGCTTTGCTGTGAGCTGTGCTCTTTATCCCAGTGCCTTCCAAGGACAGCAAGGAACTGCATTGGAAGTTTCTCACAACGTGAGTTTCCATAACATACTTGACTCAGGTTCCTAAACCTTCCCTTCCAGTGGAAGACCTTTATAGCAAGTGTCCAAAAGCACTTAAGAGTATGTAGTTGAGCATGTTTTGTGTGTCTTCTTTATGTTCCATGGTTAAGTCATTGTGGGTCCAGACCGATGGGAACTCAGACTGGCATTAAGACAAAAAAAAAAATGATCATCTGAGCCTCTTTTTGCAAATGATTACTCACAGGGTTTATTAGTTAACTTTTCCATTGCTCAGACAGAAATCCTGTCCAAAAAAAAAAAAGAAAAGAAAAGAAAAGAAAAGAAACTTAGAGGGGGGAAGGTTTGCTTTGATTGACAGTTCCAGAGGGGATGTGACCCGTCATAGCAGGGAAGGCATAGCAACAGGAGCATGAAGATGGAGTGGCAGTCAGGAAGCTGGCTGATCACATTTCATTACCATACAGGAAGCAGGCACAAGGAGAACAGGAAGTAGGACCAGACTGTAAAATCTTGAAGGCCACCCAGTGACGTATTTCCTCTAACAGGACTCCTTAACATTGCTACAGCCTCCCCAGCAGCAGCTCCAGCTGGGGACCAAGTTGTAAGCACGTGGGTCTGAGGGAACTCTCACATTCAAACCACAGCACCCAGACAGTTGGGATTTGGGGTTAATCTGGGTCTTAAAATTTCAGAACCTCCCTGTGACACTTGCTTTGCAGTTCTTGGACACTGACCTTTGATTTTATTTTTGTGTTCGTACAATGATTTTTTAAAGATAGTCTAATACACATTTTCAACAGTCCCTGATCAATACACCAATGGCTTTGAAATGACGGAGTACCACGATATTCCTCTGTAATTTAAAGATGATTAGCTGATGAAGGTTATGATCAATACATGGAGGGAAGATAAATTAATTGATAGCATCCTTTCAGGGTGATGAGAAGCCTTTCGGAGGTGGGCCGTGACTGATGAAGCAGCTGCTTCATCTCTGGGAACCATTTTTTATAGATTGCATTTCCACTTAGTCGCATTTAGCACTATCATTTATTTGCACAAAAGCCGTGAGCTGTGGGCACATCCGTTCCTGCTTAAAGTTATGTTCATTTGGAAGTGAAATTACCTGTGAGCACCTTGTGGCCTCTGTCTCCTGTAACCAGTGGTCCCGGAGAGGCACAAGCTGCTGCCACTCTCCTGCAGTGACACCTATTGTATAAGAATGGTTTTCCAATTCTTCGCTTTCTTTGCAGTTAAATTCCATATGCTTTATCAGCAAGAGTATTTGCTGAGAGAAGTTATGGCCGGTTGAATTTATATTTGCATCGAATAAGATAAACTTCCAGTGTATGCATGCGGCCATATATTAATATTTTTTAAAAGGTCTTTGTTATACTCTTGCTTGAGTATAATTCTACACAGCCTGTAAAGTTACAAGTCATTCCTTAGATAATGTGCACACACCCCCGCCCAAAACCCAAAAAGAAAAAAAAAACTTTCAGAGGGATTTTGTTCAACTTTCCTTATTTGGGATTCTTTTAAATAACTGGAAAACACTGTGTTATTGGGGTAGCCTATGTGAGGCGGGCGGGCGTGTGTTCTTGTTCACATTTGAGGCCCCTGAGGTAGTCCCAAGTAGGCTGAAGCCCTCAGGAGTCAGTTCTGGCTTGTTTTGCTTCCTGACTCACTGGTGTGACTTCCATCCCTGTGTCACTAATGGTCCTGGGTGGCTCCTGGCACCAAAGTCACATCTGTACATTTCAGAGAGATTAAGCAAAAAAGACAAAGAAGAAGGGGACAGAGAGCAGCTCTCACCTGAAGACAGGGCTTGTGTGCTGTAATCCTGTTGACCAGGGCTTGTGTGTGCTCTAATCCCATTGGCCAGGGCTTGTATGTACTGTAATCCTATTGGCCAGGGCTTGTGTGTGCTGTAATCCCATTGGCCAGGGCTTGTGTATGCTTTAATTCCACTGGCCATATTCTGCCCGGGTATGGGATTCAGAAGCCCTGGGAAATGCCCTATTTATCCTGGTGGTTGGGTATCTGGATGAAGCTTGCTGTGCATGCAGGAATGGAAGGATTCAGGGATCCCCAGAGGTCCCTGTTGTTCACCTCATATCTGAACACTGGCCTCACATTGTTGTGTCTTGTCTCTGTGTCCACTAGTTGCCCAGAAGATTGTTGCCACGCGGAAGAAGCAGCAGCTGTCCATAGGCCCCTGCAAGTCCTTACCCAACTCTCCAAGCCACTCCTCTGTGTGTTCTGCCCAGGTGTCAGCCGTGCACATCAGCCAGGTAGGAAAGGTGGTGCGGGAGGTGAGGCAGCCAGCAAGTGCCAAGGAGGACTTGGGGCAGGAAGTGCTCACAGCCAGTGCCAAAACTGTTGCCACTCCCCCCCAACTTTGTAAATAACAGCATGTTTTATTATTGACTTCCCAGTTCCTTCAGAAGCTGCAGTGGTCAAGTGGGCTTTCTAGGAGTCAGACTTTAATGTTCTCTTTGCACACTTCCTGTGTTATGAGGCGTGCTGGAATGGGGTGGTGCCAGGTGTGTGTAACAAGTTCTTTTTCCATCCCACCAGTCAGCTCCCAAATAATGAAACGGAGATTTCTTGCAAATTATGAAAGCTCAGACTGTGGCTTAGGCTTGTTCCTAACTAGCTCTTAGAAATTAAATTAGCCCATTTATATTAATCTACGTTAGCACATGGCATCTTGTACCTCCTGTTTCCTCTCCGTGTCTCCTGGCATCTCCCTTTCTTCTCCCTGGAGTTTTCTATGTCCCCAGGAGACCTGCCTAACCTCTTCCCACCTAGTTACTGGCCGTTGAGCTCATTATTAAATCAGTCACAGCAGTAGATCCTCACCCAGTAAACAATAGTGCACAACAGGTGTGTGCTGCCATCTTCACTGTGGATTGAGATGACTGGTTTTGCTTTTGGTTTGTTTAAGGGTGAGCAGTTGTGAATAAGTTTTACTGGCTAAGGAATGCACTTAGGCTTAGATCTGGAAGGTGGCTATAACAGCCGGCTCCAAGGGGGCCCTGTAGAAGGCCTCCCCTTACAATGTTTTGCTAATTTGCTAACTTGCAAGCAAGGTACTTGTCACAGGGATTCACCCAGGACCTCATTAAGGAACAGGTGACTTGCTGGTCCTGGTTTCGTGACCAGTCCCCCTTGGATGAGAGTCCTATTGCTGTTTATTCCAAATGACACAGTGAGCAGATTTTGTTGCAAGTGCTCAGTTTGCCCGAGAAGCCATTGCCTTCATGCATTTACCACTGGGACCTAGGATGGTCTAGCCTAGGATGGTCTAGCTTAGGATGGTCTAGCTTAGGATGGTCTAGCCTAGGATGGTCTAGCTTAGGATGGTCTAGGCTAGGATGGTCTAGCCTAGGATGGTCTAGCCTAGGATGGTCTCGCTTAGGATGGTCTAGGCTAGGATGATCTCACTTAGGATGGTCTCGCTTAGGATGGTCTAGGCTAGGATGATCTAGCTTAGGGTGGTCTAGGCTAGGATGGTCTAGGCTAGGATGGTCTAGGCTAGGATGGTCTAGCCTAGGATGGTCTAGGCTAGGATGGTCTAGGCTAGGGTGGTCTAGGCTAGGGTGGTCTAGGCTAGGATGGTCTAGGCTAGGATGGTCTAGCCTAGGATGATCTAGCTTAGGGTGGTCTAGGCTAGGATGGTCTAGGCTAGGGTGATCTAGCTTAGGGTGGTCTAGGCTAGGGTGGTCTAGGCTAGGATGGTCTTGCCACACACCTGAACAGCTTCACAATTGGTGTCTTCGGTTTTTGAGTGATCTAAAAGCATTTTAAGGTAGTACTCTGATTTGTGAGGTGTCATTTAAGAAGGGTCGCTTTGGTGTTCTGAGTGACCATTCCTTCCTCATCCGGGAGGAGCAGTGAAGCACCCATAGGACCATGTTTCACTGCAGTTTTCTTTTTCAGAGGAAGAATAATTATGGTTTCCCCCCAATTTTTTTTCAAATTTCAATAACTTAACCTTATAGTCTCAGTCATCTATTCAAGTTTCAATTCAAGTCCAGCCTGGGCTACATAGTGAGTTTAGGTCAACCTAGGCTACAGACCGTGGCTCTGTCTCAAGAAGCAGAAAGAGATTTTCAGGCTCCATTATGCAGACCTGAGGTTCTTTTTCTCAGATAAAGCAACACTTGCTTCCAGCAGCACTGAGTACTAGTAAAAGTGCCAGGCACAGAGAATTGACACCTTGTCTCCCAGGTGCTTTGTCGTGGTCACTTGCTGTTTTCCTTTCTCTGACCCTGCTCGGGTGGCTTTTCTGCTGTTTTATTCCCAGAACATTGATTTGTTTGTTTGTTTTTCATTTTACAGACAAGTAATGGAGGCGGGAGTTTAAGTGACTACTCCTCCTCAGTCCCTTCGACCCCAAGCACCAGCCAGAAGGAGCTCCGGATCGATGTCCCTCCCACTGCCAACACCCCGACGCCTGTCCGGAAGCAGTCCAAACGCAGGTCCAACCTTTTCACAGTGAGTTATCAGCCCTGGGGCCAACCTCTCAGTGTCACCCAGCATCTTAACCACAGCACCACGGCTGTCCCAGTCCCATGATGTGTGCGGAGTCCAGGCTGAATTTAACGGGAATCACAATGACTCTGGAGTTTGAGGAAATTGTGACAAGAAAAGATTTAGGTCCTGAGCAGGATGGGAATTGCCCGGTTGGACTGAGTATGAAACCTGAACAATTTTCCTTTACCCTGAGCACAACCTCCACCCTTCCAGGACTTCCATGGTCCCACACTAAAGACTCTGTTAGAGATGGAGAGACGGTGAAGGTCTTGAGGGACTCAGTTTGCACCTGACCAATCACAGAGAGGCCTTAGCCATCACCCTGTTTACCTGTTGGGTTCTGAGAACTGACCCCAGGGGTGGGCGTGGGAATAGGACTTGCCTTTCTATTAATACTGCAACCCCACCCTCTCTCTGGGTCTTCAAGGGACCCATGCCATGGGCTTGCCATGGCCTTTCCTCGGAATCCTCTAGGGAGTGTGCTGGATTGGATATCTGAGCTTTGATTTAGAAACCCTGAGTCCAGGGTGGGACCAGGCATGTATACTTTTACAAGCTTTTTGGGCTGATGGGTGCAGATACTACTCTCTGAACTACAGAAGAGGCAGACATTCTGTTTCCTGCCTCTTCTGCCCAGCAGACATCACCAATCAATCATGGATGGCTTTGTGGTCCAGTCCAGAATTAGTATGGTGTGATTTCAGGAAGTCTTTCTCTCCCTGGCCAGCTCTGTGTAGTGTCTGTACTTAAAGCCTCTCGTTCTGGTTGGGCCAGACTGACTGAGTCAGTCACAGAGAAGGTTCTTATTTCTATCTCAACCTAAAAGAGATCTCCCGGGAGTAACTGGAAGTTCATTGTCCGACCTGATGCCTTCAAATGAAGACAGTCACTGCATACTGTGGGTACCTGCCAGATCTCTGGGTGCCTCACTCTTTCCCACCATTTTTGCGGCTGCCTCTGGTTAGATCATTCATGTTCAGGTGTGCTGATGACAGAAGGTTCCCCCTTTGAGCCACCTTGTCCTTTCCTTTGCTGGCCTGTATCATGCAGCTCTGAGACACTGCGGGCCGTTGATTGACCTTAGGCAAGTCAGTGAACCTCTCTGATAATTGGAGCAGTAGCTATTCTTCCATGGAACTGTCAGTTGGGACCACTTCTCAGAGGGGCAGAGGAGTCTTAGTAGTGGTATTTATGTTTTTTTTTTTTTTTTCCACTACTAAAGTTAGGAGCATGGACACTAGTGATGTTCAGCAAAAGTAATTGGTAGGACTGCTGGATAGGCCTGGAGGGGTCATTTTGGCTTCTGCATGGCACAGGAAAGTGTCTGGTAGGCTGCAGCAGTGCATGGATGTAAGGCAGTGTGTTATAAAGTTCTTAGACACAATGTGAGCAGTCATACGAACGGTTGGTTCCTAGCTGGATGCCCAGAGCAGGACTGTTGGTTAAGAAGGTACCACATCCCAAAAAGAGTGCTCATTCACTTGTGATTCTGTGGGCCCCAAAAGCTGATTGCCATAACCACACCTGACTTCAGTGGCCTTGGGCCCCAAGAGTGAAGGATAAGAAGTTTGTGTAAGCCCCACCACACACTGTTATGAAAGGCTTGTGGTTCCTGCCTAGCACCACTCAGTCTGCATTAACTTTGCCTTCTACCATATGAAAGAAATATGAAAACAAGGAAATACCACTTTAAACAAAACTACTTGTAAAGAGATCCTGTCCCCTCTCTCCAAAAAGATCCTGGGGCCTGGATGATTGACAACTCACACGAGGGTTCTTAATTTTAAGACCTGAAGAAGAAGAAAAATGATTGGCTAATAGCTGTTCTTCAGCCTGTCTGTGCTCAGTATCTAGGAGCTGTGCGTGTGGCCAGAGCTGGCCGTACTGAAGGGGAAATGGGCTGGGAGCCACAGAGAAATAGGTTTTATACAAGCTTGAAAGTGCACAGTGGCTGCAGATGCCAGCGAGCCGCACCCGAATCGACATCTCTTAGAGGGTCTCTGACTGCGTATGTGCGGCGCATTTGCTCTCTTCCTCTGTGATGTCAGAAGACAGTTTGAGAATGAAGATTTTCACACCTTGAGTTCAGCTGCCCAACTGATGTTTGTGGAACAGAAATTTGGGGTCCTGGAAGTATCTAGCACTGCAACGGGTTTGTGCTGTGGCATTTAAGGATCAGCTAGCTGAAATGCCAAGAAAGGGCCAGCACATGGGTTCTTACCAGGCTTGGCTTTGCCATTGCGCAGGATGGCAGTGGAGGTGGGTGCTGAACATTTTGAGTTAAAGGATTTGGAAACATTAACTCCACTAGATGTCAGTGTCATACAAGGAATGAAAAGAAAGCGAATTAGTTCTAAAATCTAAGCAATTAAGAATCCAGATTTGAGTGGGTAACAGCCTGCTTCTGTATTTTAATATGTCCAGTTTGTAGTCTTTAACCCTGTCACTAACATTGTCACAGTGTGTGTTTAGACTGTCGGCAGCTGTGTCAGATGCAAGCCATTTTAGTTACTATTCTGCAGCCGAATGGAGATGTAGTTGGTGGGCATTGTCCACTTGTCTATTAGCACATGCTAAAAAGGCTGGAGGTCATCTATATGCACATAGCTCCCATCCCGCCCTCACACGACTTTCAGAGTAATCCTGTGCCTCACAGGGATAACATCTTCAGCTGGCAGATGGTTTTATTTGCAAACATACATGCTTTAAACAAATAAATCCTATGTATTTTGTATGAAATTATATAAACTAAATCACTCCAGTTATAGCATGGTATGCATTATTTTGCAGTGACAATTATGTATGCCTTACCAAGGGGAATTTAAATTGTATCATGCTTTGTTAATTTTTTATGTAAGGCCATTGCCATGAGAAATGATGACCCATTGGATACCTGCCTTAGAAATACATACAGAATTTTTAGAACAGTTCATTTAGTAGCCCGATTTACATGTAATTGAAATATTTTATTGAATAATATTTTGAGATTTATAAGAATTACAAAGAAAAACCTGCATGTGTTCTCTGTGCTAATGAGAGAGGGGGTTTGCAGCCACTAGCTTCATGAAGTATACAAATTCTTAGTGAAAGTCCAGGCCTCCCGATCCGTTCCCCTGCCTCTGTTCTAGGGGCTTGCCATTTACCTGAGTAGGTGTGGATGTGCTGCCTGCGTTTGTGATGTTACACTTGCAAGGCTCCTTAAGTTCTGTGTGGTGTTGCTTCATGTCTTTTCAAGCTTTTAAAGAATTAGGTCTTTATATGGTGTTATTCAAAGCTTGCTGTATGATGCTGATTCCATTAAATAGTTCAGCACACCGGCATCCAGAGATGGCAAAGATGGTACAGAACTTGGACCTACTCGGAGAAGCTCACTGGAGAAAAAGGGACAATGAAATCCATAGTGTAAAAGTATTGATCCTTGGTGCCTTACCGAGAACAGGAGCCCTAACGCCTGGCATGGTGTGTTCCATCTGTTCCTGCCTTATTGGTTGGAGCTAGGAGAGCAGGCTCTGTTTGATAGGCATCATTGCCAGTCACGATTCTCTGCCCAGTCTCCAGGGAATTTTGTTTATTATGTATAGGGAGTTAAACATTTTTTGAAATGAAGTAAATAATCCTTCCCTTTCGTCTATCTTCGGTGTCTGTGGGGCTCAGCAGTCGTTCTGTTGTCTTGAAGTCTACGGGTGTGCAGTGAGAGTGATGAGCTCTGATGCTGAAGAATGCGGCAGGCTGGGTGTAGCCATGGGTACCACGGGCTGCCAGGATCATCTAATGAGCAGTTTTGGTACAGAGGGGAGGATGCTCACTGTGGAGACTCTCCAGGGTGGGCAGGAAAGCCAGGAGTCTTCCCTTGGGATTCAGAGGTTCAGGGTTTCATTGCTAGCTGTGGTTTAGTTGTTGGATTGCAGTCTCCTTGAGTCAGCCTGTTGTAGATGGCAAACCTGGCAAACCCTCTGCCCGGCAGCTTGTGGAGCTCTGTCCTTTAGTTTTATGGCACTTTCCACAAACATACCGTTGTTGGTGGATTTCCTTTTTTCCAATGTGTACCCGAGTTTCTCTCCCGTTTGTCTCGGAGCTGTGATCGTGCCGAGCATGACTCCTGTTTCTTTACATATTTGGAGCTGTGCAGCGACTCTGGCTGCTCCTTCCTGCTTCCGTGGAATCCGGAATTCTATGCAGAGAACAGCGATTGGGGACAGATGCGCCGCCTCCAGGAAAATGTTCATTTTTTTTTTAATGTTTGTTTTGTTAATTATTCTGCTTAATGGAGAATAATGAAGATGGATTTTCAAACTTAGGTATTTAGAATTGATAAAGTTCCCCAAATGCCCTTAATGCTCTCCATTGATTCAGAATTTCTGAAATGTTGTCGGCTATGAGCTTTTGGACTTCATTTTCCGGTTGGAAACCTCATGTGCCCATGAACTGACTTGGGGACAGAGGTGGCTGTGTGAAGTTCTGCTTTGCATGACTAACTGAAGAGTAAAGGCAGAAGGAGTTTATGTTGAAGTCCATGATGTAGGCACACAGCATGGGGCACCGAGGAGGCATTTAATAAACGCAATATTAATATGTAATATCAGCTAAGAGTGTGGTTTCTCACATGCACTGCCACGTGACAAAATCACCACCTTTGAAGTGTCTGCACCGAGTTGATATCACAGGCACCTTTTCCTGAGTCTTCAGGCAGTAACCCGTCCTGTCAGCCCTTGCTTTTATTACCTCTCGGGTTCTTGCCTTTTTGGATACTGTTTTAGAAGCATCTTCTGCTTCGTCCCATATCCTTTTGAATCTGAATTTCATTAGCTGCTCCCAGCACCACCGGACAGCACCGAGTCTCTCTGTTTCATATATCATCTCAGATTTGAAAAGCACAGGAAAATGTTTCTCCATTTTCAATATTGCGTGAGTAATGTTCCCATTGAAAAGTAATGGAGTGAAGTTGTCACTTGTCAGCACTGTTATTAAGGAGGACGAGTCTCAGATCTTTCTCTCATAATAAAATAAATCTGTCAGACAATCACCATGCTTACACTTGCTCATGCCAGCAGGAGCTGGGACATGGACGGTGACTGGCATGCTCCTGCAGCTTTCCTCAGTGCCCTCCTCCCCACACCTGCCAGCCACTGGGCAGTTCATACAGCATCAACCAGCCGTCCAAGACAACAGGCTCAAGAACCTGGCAAACAAACAGTTGTTCATTGCGCCCTCGAATATTGACATTTTGTCAAAAAAAAAAAGATTTTCAGTTTTTGCCTCTGTTATCTTTTTGTTGCACAGTAGACTGCTTTAACTTTGAATTGCTGTTTTCTAACCGACCAGAAGCAATAAAAGGAAACATTGCTTGCTCTTTGAAACAACTCGCCAGGGGTATACCAGTAAGTTACACTACTGAGTGGTTAATAGACTTTTTAAATCATCTAGACATTAATTTAATCCATACATTTCTGCAGTTGGACTTCCAGATAACCTTTGAGGGCCCCCCTCTCCTCAGCTATGCTTACTGCAGCTTTAGAATGCGTTTTCTCGTTGGGTGTTGCTTTCCTGGACGGTCCATTGGTTTCTAGTAATTGCATTTTGAACTCTTTAAAAAAGAATTAAAAGATAATTTCGCAGTAGAAAAGTCATGGGGAAAGTTTAGAAAATTCTCTTTGGAATGATGAGTCAGTGCAGACGAACGGCTGGGGGTGGCAGTTCTGAATCCTGTTGGAGGGGCGAGACCCGTCTGGCAGCCTCTACCCTTGCCCAAATGCTAACTTTACTTTTGCTTGCAGTCTAGGAAAGGGAGCGACCCAGACAAAGAGAAGAAAGGCCTGGAGAGCCGTGCGGACAGCATCGGGAGCGGGCGAGCCATCCCAATTAAACAGGTACACTTGTCCCCTTCCCTGCTCGCTGGAGACATACCTCGGTGCAGCCTGAGATGGTGCTGGCTCGGGCACCAGGGTTTGTTTGATGTGCTCTGTTGATGAATGTAGAAGTCACTCACTTGACATCAATTAGAAGGGGTTCCTGTGAGTATTAAAATGGGATCATTAGAATAAGAAGAGGGAAATGCAACAACAGCTCTAATGAAGTGCGGTCTGCCCGCCTGCATATGGAGTGTGTTTCCATGCTGCACTGGCTTCAAAGGCTGCCTTTGTAGCGTGGCTTTGATTGGGCCGCTGGCCGCCAGACGACAGGGGTAAATCAGATCGCTGTAGAAGAACCCCTTGTGATCACAGGAATAGCCTGACGTGGCCCTAATTTGCTCTTGCAGACGGACATCTGAACACTGTTTCAGGCTGGTCTGTAACAACGAGGCAATTAGTTGTAATAATCATAGCTGGCGTGTCAGCTGTGCGCTCTTGTTTGTAATTTGCTAATGAAGGGATTGTAACTTTGATTAGGTTCAGTTTCATTTAGACCTTATTATACACAGGAACATTTACAGCTGTAATGTGGGGCCTTAATTAAACTTCCCCATTACACAACAGGACTTGAATTCAAGCATTTGTTTTGGCCAATGTTGCTAGCCTGAAATGGGTTTTCATTAGCCCGGAAACCGGGTCCTAAATTGCTTCACGTCTCTAGCAAGACACACTGGAATTCACGTGTGACGTCTTCGGCTGCTTCGTTTCTGAAACAATAAGAATAAAGAGTTCAACCCTGCTCAGCGGCTCTGGAAATGTCATCTTTTTTGGTTGATAAAGAAGGCCAATTGATTTGGAGTGTGTTCTGTTGGGATGGGGACAGGAAATCTGTGGTCGGGAAATAGCTCTGCCTTCCACGGGATGACACTGGTGGCCTATTCGTAGCGTTGGTTGATCTAGGGCATCCACCGCCTTTTCTGTAGCTACCACCCAGCTTCACTTGGCCTGGGCACGTGGGTCCTGATGGGGGAAAGAGTATTATTCATGCCGATATAGCAGACTCCCCTCAGCGGTGCGGCTTTCACCTGTTTGTAGCTAATGGCCGCAGCCCTTGTGAGAAGCTGGGCCATTTCAGATTGAAGATGTGGGAGTTAAGGGGCCACGGGATTTCTGAGAAACCAGGACTACTGTATTCCTACCCTCCGGCTGCGGACCAGAGTGGCCTGTGCGCCACATATGCCCTCTGTTCAGAGGGCTGTGTGGGCCTTTGACCCAGGGGAGGAAGGCCTCCCAGCATTAGCCAAGGGTACTGTGCCTCTGTACGGTACCATCCTTACTATTCTGGGTGACAGACTTGGGGGGCAGCTTGCAGCACCTCTAAGGAAAATGTTCACCTTCCATGTGTTTACAGATAAGGCAAGTAAGCCTTCCTGGTGATGGGCAGTGTTTTCCTTATAAAGAGGCTTATTATTTTTTAAGGCCTTGTACATAGTTGTTTACTAACATTGCTTGTATATAATTATAATCCAAGTCTACATAAAATCATTTTAATGTATAATTTCTGTGCAGTGTTACTTCATGTAGAGTTATAAAAATTATTGAGCTGTTATTCACTTAAAAACCTGCTGCTAGGACATAGAAGAACATTGTTTTTTGATGGACATCGTCTTCCTGATTTCTGCCAACTCCTGGTTGAGGGAAGAGGGGGTTTACTTTCTCAGCAGGAAACTCATGGTGAGCCAGCCAGGCTCTGGTGTAATTGGAACCTCACTTCATTTGTCCCCTGCTCATCTCTGGACCCGACCAGCTTCTCAACTAGACTTTCAGTTTGCAAAGATCAAGGTTGACAGACTAGTGTGAAATGCGGGCTCCGCATTCCTTGGAAGCCATTCTCTCCTGGACGTTCATGATATTCTCCTTGATGTCTAAATGTTGGTTTCCTCATGACTTTGGGCATGGGGCGTACCTGATTTCACCCATTCAGTGCTTACAGTAGGAACCATGGACTAACTCCTACAAGGGTGTGCTCCCGGCATCACATGGTCCCACTGTAATTGATGCATAGGCCTCACACCCCTCATGTGCAAAGTGTGGACCTGGAAGAAGAAAACTCTGACACCTAGGCATTCTGCAGGGATCCATTCCAGCCAGACTGCAGTTTTTCATCTGAGATGATGTTCTAGGTACTCGTGCAGAGCCTTCCTGCACCTTCTCTGGAGTTAGGTAGAGGTTGTAGGTGGTCTGGGTTGTTACAGTGACCTAACGCTGCATGCTGTGTATGCTCACACTTTAAAAGTACGTGGGTCATTCGAGTGTATATACTCCTCACTGCCCCCGCCCTAGTGGTCACCTCTGTATGAAAACAAGAGGATCGAGAGGATGGAGCCTAAAGGGGCATTATCTGCCTAGAATATTCTAGAATGTGCACAGTGTGTTTCTTAATAACACTTCTGTGTTCTTTCCATTACATGTTGACAGGAAGCGTACAAAGTAAAGTTGACAGTTTTAAAGATTACTGTTTGTGTGTGTGTGTGTGTGTGTGTGCCTGTGTTTTTTTTTTTTTGTTTGTTTTTTGTTTTTTTTTGCAGGGGTGGGTTTCGAGACAGGGTTTCTCTGTAGCTTTGGAGCCTGTCCTGGAACTAGTGCTTGTAGACTGGGCTGGCCTTGAACTCACAAAGATCCACCTTCCTCTGCCTCCTGGGACTAAAGGCATGTGCCACTACTGCCCTGCTGCCTATGTTAGTTTTACATGCACCATGTACATGCAGGTACCTGCAGAAGTCAGAAGGTGGCATCGAATCCACTGGAAGTGGAGTTACAGGTGGTTGTGAGCTATCATATGTGGGTGCTGGGAACCAAACTTGGGTCCTCTGCAAAAGACTCGAGTGGTCTTCACCACTAAGCCACCTTTTCAACCCCAAGCTATAGGTGTTAAGTCAAACATAGGAACTCTCAGCTCCCACAAAAGTCTCTGGTTCTGTGTAGAAGAAACAACTGAGGCTGTGCCTATAGCAGTGTCTTTCTCCAGGGATGCTGCAGGAATATGCATCTGTCCTCAGGGGGAAACATTGCCATTCATTTGCAACTGCAGTCTCTGTCCCTCTCACAGGCAGCAGAGTCCTTGGTCTTCAATGAATCCAAGCTGAAACTTGTCAGAGCCCCACCCAGCTGCTGGGCCATTGGCCTCAAGGCAGAAGAGTGACTCAGGAGCTGCTGTCCTGAACACTTGGTGTTCTGGCCAGTTCACTCTTCTGCTCTTCCACAGGAATTTTGCAAGTGAGGCCGGCCCTCTGAGCGTCCTGCGACTTCGCTCGTGGTTGTGCAGGTTGCCCATTTGCATAGGTTGCTTTTCCTTAGTTTAACTTGTAACAGGTAGCTGGCCAAGTCACCATCACTGGTGACCTTATTTCTCCCTTTCTTCAGTTTAAGACTCCCAAGAGTAAGGAATTGTTTTCTAGCCTTTAACTTCATTTCTTCAGGATCTGGACCCAACTCTTCTTTTGTCCTATCTGGGTATCCAGAGTAGATGGATTTACAGAATCCTATTTCTTTTCTTACTAATAAGATAAAGGTCTGTTTGAGTAGAAATAAAAAGGCAAAGCAAGAAAAATAAAAGCCAGCAGCCCAGCTCAGCGGCCAGTGGGCTTGTCACGTATTAATTTTTCATCGCTGTGGCAAGTTGTACATACATAATCACTTGATTGCAGTGGGAGTTAGGGAGCTCCTATGGTGTCATTTGCATAAATCTTGTTAAGTCAATGGCAGTTAATGAAGTACAAATGAGCCCGGAGAAGGTGACATGCAAATCGTGGGTGGCAGATGGGAGGTCTGTTTGGGGGACGGCAGCTGTGTACTCTCTTTTCTTCTTTCTCTTTAGCATTTTTTAATCTCTATATTTGAGTGCAGATACACAGTCATAAGCCTCCTCCCCTCCCGTGGACTCCCAGCCAGAGTCTAATGCTCATGCTGAGAGTCAGGGATGGCAGGAGCATGCCTCACACACGCGCTCACACGAGTAGGCGTGAGGTCACTTTAGCTCGTCACACTTTCACAACTGAATTTGGATTTCAGTTGGTGGGGACAAACAAAAACAAGCCTGCACAGACGTCCCAGAGATTCCAATCATGCAGATACTGTTTCTACTTAACTGGCTTCTGTTTGGGGATCTTTCTTCACTGTTCATGCCGGCCAGCTGCAGGTAGGGAGTCTCAGAGCCCCATATTATGAGCCTGCTGTGCCCAGAGTGACTTTGCTGTTGAAATCAGGTCTTGGTGAAGACCCCATCACATCAGTGCAGGGTCCCCACAGCCTGGTGTCTGCTTTGCCTGGGGTGTCCTTGCTTGGGGGAGGTTTTGCAAAGCCCTGCAAAATACTGCTTCTGCCTTCTGCTTTTGGAAGCCCCGGGTTTCTTATTTGATCAATAGTTTTGATATTTTGAGAGAATCTAGACTTCACCGAAGAACCCCAGGGAGGTGCATGTAGAAGCCTGAACCCTGCAGCAGGAGGGTGCTGAGTCCTTGCTGCTCACCTGGATTCGATCCTTGGGATTTCTCCAAGCAGTTTCCAGATCTTTGGATCTTCATCCCACATCTCTGCTATGGCTCAGGAGACGCATCTCTGCAATTATGAAAGAACCTATCTTGTGCCTTCAGTGTCCTGAGGTGGGGGGTGGGGCTCTCAAGTCCAGGAGGCCTTTTATTCTCAGATCAGTGGTTAGCCTAGTCCTAATATCATACTGGCCCCTCCAAGTTTCTGCTCTGCCCAGGGGGCATAGGGGGCATGAGTGACGGTGTGTTGTGATCTGTCAGAGTACTGTGGGGTGTTAGTTACTTTTCTAATCAATGTGACAGAAGAACCCAGGGGAAGAAAGTGTTGACTGTGATCACAGCTCCAGGATGTGGTCAGTCGTGGCCTCAGGAGTGTCGGGCAGCTGGTCACATTGTACCCATAGTCAGCAAGCAAAAAGAGACAAAAGCTGGTACTCAGTTCTCTTCTTCCTTCTTTTTCTTTCTCTTTTA